CTGTTGGCCGAAATATATACGGACTTTGGTAAAAATTCTGAAAATAAGCGTGTGAAAATTAGCAAGTCCAATAAATATGTACTTCAAGACTTAATGTCTAGCTCTCATTTTTTGAGATATTTACAAACATATGTTTCGTTTTTTCTATACTCACATTTGTTGTTGTTCATTTAATACGAATCTATAGACTAAATTAATTGTATAATATAGACATAAATAGGCGATTAGTTCACGCCACACCAGTTTGTAAACGCTGCCACGCCATCTAAAAATTATAAGAAAACAAAAATCGTATTATAAATGTAGGTCAGTTTGCAAAAATCTAAAATAAATATTAAAACGGTACTAGCGATTAAAGTTTTGCAGTGCCTTTTTTTGTATTTTGGCGTTGTCACATCAAAAAAACCCCTGCCCTATTCCCACGGTCAATGCCACAGATCGACGCATGACTATTGTCTTACCAACTACGCCAAGAGCATAGTATGTACAAACATTGATACTTCGAGGTCATGTGCTCACCAGGCAGAGGAGAAAAGTTGAAAGATGATGTTCCCTCAATACAGTTTTCCGCCGCCTCCGAACGACAAATGGATTGTATGAGCAGCTGGTCGAAATATACTCAGAGGTGGAAACTGTTATAACAACTTTTTTTTTTACTTTGGATGTTGATCGGACCAGTGATCGTATCCAAGTCCTGATAGTATGCTACGCACTCATCTCCACTCAGCCGCAGGGGTGTGGTCACTTCAAGCAAAAAAAAAATTATAATTTTCTATGCCTATCATGCAGACGTCATTATAACTAAGTCAGCCCGAGTCTCTTCACGCGCCTCTCTGAAAAGGTTTGACTACAGCGATCGGTTTGAAATACATCGATTTTTTCATCGTGTGGTGACATCGGTGTTCATTTGATATTTTTGAAAAATCATCGAATTTACTCTACAGCTACTAAATAAAATAAACACAAATAAAACATTCTTTAAGCCTAGCGAAAACGTTTATTTCATTTGAAATCTGTTAGAAAGCGAGAAAAGTATATATCGACGTCTGAGTCGAATATCGACCTATCTCGAGAGCCGGTTCGAAAACCAGTTTCTCAGGAAACATTTCAAGAACGCCGTATTTCAGAGTTTGATTGAAAAACTCTCCATCTCAAAACTGGGTTGAAGAAGGTCCTATCTAAAAATTTTGTTCAAAAACGCCCCATCTCAACTGAAAATATATTGAAAATATGTCGAGATAGTGCATTTTTAAATCGACTGCCATAAATAAAAGTCTTCAATAACTGTTACCTAAGATATAAAATTTAAGAATCAAAAATAATTGTTATTTGCAGATTTTTTAGATAAAAATCAAAAATAATTGTTATTTTGGATTTATTAAATAAAAATCAGAAAAAATTGTTATTTAAGGAGCAATTAAATAAAAGTAAAAAAAAACTTATTGTCAAAGAGTGATTTTTTCAATAAAAGTTGTAACTGTTACGGACGGTCGCTGATTTAGACAATAGCACAAGTTACTTTTCGTTTGCCATTGCAAATAACTTTTGGCGCCTGACTGTCAGGAATTTAATATATGTGCAGGCGTTTGAGCATTATTGCTTTGAACGTTTATAAAACCTTAAAATTATTCAACAAAGATTTTAACACATTTTTACATAGTTTCACAGAATTTGAAAATAAAAATTTTGTTTCACTGTGTAATCGTTACTACAAGTCTACCGCATTGCTTGACATGCACCTCACTTGGCTCATCAGAAAACTTACATACTATGTATCCAAACAGGTTCATCGTACCGTTTATGCGTCAGAGAATTAAAATTCGAATATGTTCCATAATTGCTGCCATTAATTACATTGTTATCATCATTGTTATTTTCACAAACAAACAAGCATACAGATGAGTGAATGCCAAAAAGTCAGGCTTATTCGCATATTTATACATAAACATAAGGATGGTTCGTTGTTGCAATCGAAATATTAGAGCGAAGCAGAAACAAATTATACTTCAAGTAGCCTTTTTTAAAAGCTACTTAAAAAAACCGGCACTAAGGGTTTTATTTCCCATATACATATATGGAGATTTTTTGTCCCATCTCTTCCATTTTCGGTTCTGGAGAATCCAACACTAAAAGGGAACGAATAACAGAGACTCTTCATGTTCTAAGGGTTTCTGATTTCAAAATGGGTGAACAAATATGGCGGCCCAAAAAATTTAAACCGGTTCGATTCGCTCGAAATGTTTACCTTGGGCGTTTTAGTAGTCGCTGATTACGAATCTAAAGTCAGATTGGACAAATTCGAAATAGCGGCCGAAAAAATGTGAAGCTACATGGCGTATGAGTTACTCAGACGAGTTGAGAATGTTACGCATACGCACTGTGCGTACGTTCGCTTTACACTTTTCCGTGATAAAGAGTACATCGAATATGAATCGTCCATTACGAATTTTTAGAATCTAATTTCAGATGCCTAATCAGTGATCTTAAGAACCAATTTAACTAACCAAAAGTGGAGAGATAGGATGCAAAGGATGTCCAATATCCTTATACATTTTGGTGGTCCTTAAATATAGGAAGCAAATCTTCACATTAATTTTATTTGAAATTAAGGAACACCCTAACTAAAATCCATATATGTACTTACATATATATATATACATAAATATAGCTCTATATATATCTATTGAAACCAACGAGGGATTTTCTAATTTGTATCCCTTCCTTATTCAAAATTTTAGCAAAAGTCTATTTCAAAATGTACTAAATTATCAAACTACCCTGTGCAAGTGCATATGTATACATATACTCGTACATATTTATCACATTAGTGAATCTACTTAATTTTAGAAAAATAAAGTTCCGATATACTCATATTTATATATATGTATGACGACAATTCCATTTTTGCCTAGAAATGTACAAATAATAATTTAACTTATTAAAACCTGTGTAGGTACTTGTAGATATATATGTATGTATGTACTATGTACAAAAATGTTACTCTTCACTTGTTTTTATATTTAGTAAATAATTTATTATTAGCTCCTTTCTGCTTGAAATGATGTGAATTCGATAACGAATAAACAGCTTTTAGTTAGCACGTTTAAATGCATGTTTACACTTATATGTTAAGGGTGTTCCAAAACTCCGCACTTTTTGTTTTGAAGATGAAAAAATATTTGAAGTCGGAAGATCCAAAATTCGCAGTTATGCGCCTCTCTGTCAATCTATTCAATCTTGACGTTGGTCTGTTACCGCACTGGCTTGCCGCCTTAAAATTCTGAAGAATAATAGAAGTTCTCCTTACAAAACGATTTAGACTCTGCTCAACAACATAGTGCGGAGTTTTGGGATACCCTTTATATGTAACTACGTATGGATATGTTTTCCCAAACAAACACGTACAATTAAAATTCAAATACCTCTTTGCAATTTTGATTGAAAAGAAAATTTTCCGCCAGTATATTAGCCGGTAGCAAAGCACATTTAAATTCGGTCTTGAGTAAATTTGAGGTTTTGTGATTTTTGGCAAATTTTTTTCTTGAAGGTTTCGCTCATTTTCTCCATAGGAAAAAAATTATCGAACATTATATTGAGAAAATGAGCGACACCTTCAAGCCAAAAAAATTTGTCAAAAATCAATGCTCCTAGCTACCTCAGACTTGCACTTTATTATACTAAAATTGAATGGGCTAAAATACTATACTAAATTTTTTTCAAAGAGTGTAATCAAAATGTGCAATATTTTAATGAAAATTTGAACGGCTTACTAAATTTTCCACAAGCTTTGGAACCCTAATTTTCGGGGGTTTTGTTGCAGAATAAACCATATTTGTATAACATTTTTTTCGAAAAATTAAATATTTAAAAAATGTATATGCAATACAAATAATAAATTTTGAGTACTTATCTATGTTCTGTTTCTCTCGTGTGACCACCACGCATATATCGGACTGAAAAGTACCAAAATAAAGCAAAACATAGCTACTCCGTTTCTACCCAAATACTACTTTTTAAATTTTTTGGGTGTCTTTTCAAATATGTTTATATATAATAGGACAATTCACGTCAAATGTCCCAAGCGCGCTAACCGGTGCAAACCAAGCTACTTTTCGACTAGCTGAGAATCGGACAGAAAATGGGACAAATAATTCGAAAACTATGAATTCTATAGTTTTTTGTACGGAGGTACTAAGCGTTTTCCAAAATTTTCCCATTTTCATGGTGAAAATTCTGAACGAAAATTTATTTGCAATTTTTCTCAATTATGGACATTTTTGATATTGGTTTTAGTTATCTCAATCGAGCGATCTAGTATTTTTACATAGAAATCATTAATAAAAAGGGAACTTTTTTTTACTTTTCCGAGTTATAAAGCCTTTTGGAGCGCGCTAATCTGCTAACAGTGCGGGTCATAATAATATTGTTATAACTTTGCAACTACTTGATGTTTTAAATTTGAAACTTTCGCAAAAACTTCCTTAGATAGTCATCTACAATACTGTTTAAAAACAAAAAAAAACAACAAAATTCAAACTTTATAACACAACTGTTGCTTTAGAAAACAAACACCCTCTTAATTCATATAAAAAAGTTATAAACCTGTAGTTTTATTTTTACTGAGTATTAAGAATTTTTGTTAAACTTAAATTCTTTAGAAAAGTTTGTAATTTATGTGTGAAAATTTCAAATCAGTCGATACACAAACGTCTGAGACATAGCGAGTTAAAACGACAATTTTGTTAAAATTATCATCAGCCTAATAAAAAATTTCCAAACAACGCCACTCTGTAAATTGCAAAAAACAAATTTGAACAAATGTACAAGTCGCGTAATTTGGCTTGATTCAAAGCGCACTTACATGTTGCGCCTGTAGCTGAGTGCGCAAAGATGCTTGCTA